TTGAAAAGGCTCTCATGGATTTTTTTGCGTCCAAGACTCTTTAGTTTTACAGTTAAGCCATCGCACACCTAGCCACTTGTTGGCTACCTTGTACAAACCAGTTTCTCTTAGAGAGAACTCCACGAAGACATCCTCACTCTTGTATCCTTGGCTGTGCTCAATTAAACAAGCAATGAACTCGCACTTTTGCTTAACAAATGCACATGTATCTATTTTTATCCAAAATATTTCCCACATAAGCAATTCGCTTGCAGCAAAACTTAATTTATTTACAACAAATACGTTTTGTAGTTAATAAAGGCTTAATTCATAGTTAATACCATTATAGAAGTGTCAGTTCACACATCAACCCCTTATTCGTCGCACCGATATCTCATACGGCAAGCAATACGAATAAATTTTGTCACGCCCATATCTCGCACAGGCTCTGCTTTTGCAATAAAGTCAAGGGAATACCAATTTTTATCGTGCCCATATCAATTATATTTACACAGATGGCAGCACAATACTTGTAAGCTGATTAGATACAGTAGTATCTAGATTCAGAATATTATTTTCGTTAGAACATATTTTGAAAGGATGCAGTTTTAGTGCTCATCGCTTTTTAGTGTTTCACACAATTAATCTGATCCTGGTTTAAATCTTGGCACATGAACTGACTTTAAAGTTTTTTGTGGTTATCCCTACTGTAATATTAATACCAGCAAGTTTTGCTTAGAAAAGTCCTCCATGAAAGCACCTCTCTCGTTAGGCAGACAGCCTTTGTGTCTTTTGCCATAATCCATATTACCTAAGTTTCTGCCAGGGCAGTCAACTACAGGCACTTAAGAAAATTATGCTTGTTTACTTTTACTTGAAGCTCTGGAAAACAGATTGTACAAATGCAATCACTTGTAAATAATGTTTTTTAACTATTTATTGAAAAATAATTAATTTGCAATCAATAGCATTTTTGAAAATTTCAGTACAAATAGCAATTAAGCAGGATGGTTATGGATGTTTCTACCAGCTAAGGTACAAAAAAGGTAATTCAAGCAGGAAGATTATATGAATTATATATATTATATTATATATTTTTGTACTCTATTTCTTGTATTTAAAAATAAAAGAGAGAGAGTGAAACCAGTTAATTCCCTTACCAAATCCTCATCTAATGCACCTCTTTCCACTAGGTGTACAGTCTGTTTGCTTTCTCTTAATCAAACAATTCAAATTCACATATTTGTCGGCTGACATCATAAACATGCATATTTGCTTAAGTTACGCGTATTTAGTTCTACATCAAGCAGCTGAAATCACTTCCTGTAAGTACATTTTGCTTCAATTTTACATATTTAATGAGAATATGTGTGGTATTTAACAAAGCATTGGTCAAAAATTTAAGTTGCCATTACAAGCTTAGCAGAATTTAGCAGAATGATTCCTGATGGATCATAATTTTCTTAATGTGATTATCCTTTTGTATTATTCAACAACTCCCTATCCAAAATGGTGAATGATTTCGCATAAACTATCAATCACTGTAATTCTCAATTATGATCATGATTTCCCTAGGCAATACAAATGAAATTATCAGGGGCGTAATCATAATTATCTACTACAATAACAATCACATTGTAATTACATTATATAACTGTATTATACAATTACTTTGTAATTACCATAATGGATATGCAGTTACACTTGCAATTAGATTTCACAACTACTATATAACTGTACTTAGATAATACAATTACTTTATAAATGTAATTACAATGTTAATTGCAATTACATTGTAACTGTAATTGGATTTCATAACTACAATGTAATTATAATTATAATTAAAATTTAATTACAATTACTTTTTCAATTAAGTTGAAAAAGCAAATTTTAATTGTAATTAATTACATGCTCCAATTACAATAACAAATTGTAATTGCAATTATATTTTGCCCAAGTCTGACATGGCAATAGTAATATCAGCACAACCATCAAAGTACAGTTTGGCAACTTTTTTAGAGAACAAAAAAAAAAAAAAAAATTTACAAAAATTTTTGATTATATACATACACTGCAAAAATTTATAGATAATATATGCATAATTTCTGCTTTAGTTAAGTACATATTTAAAAAATCATTCAACAATCTACTTGATCACATACACAAGTCACAAAAATTTATTAATTACATACATACAAAATTTATACTTTAGATAGGTACTTACTTATTTTGAAAATCATTCAATAATCTACTTACAAGGAGATTACTATTCCTGTGAAAAAAATTGTGGTAAACATTTTAAAAATAAAATCAAATCACTTGTTTGGAAAAGTACTATATTTCTAAAGAAATTTGTTGCAGTTTCTTCCAATGTAACCCAGTGCATATTTTAAAACTGAGTTTAAGACACAAAAATATCACTATTTGCTAATAAAAACCACTGGAACCTTAGCCCCTTCGAGCCGGGTAGCGCAAACGCGCGCTTATCGCGGAGGCCGGCAATGTCTTACGCGAGCGTCTGTCCAGGGCTAGGGGCTTTTTTGCTACTAAGCCTAAATCCATGAAATTTCCGAAGTATCAACGCATTGTTTAATAATGCTCTATAGAGTATTTAAACGGCTTATGCTTTATAGATATTTTTATACTATATACTTTAATTACCTTATTTCTTGTTTAAATGCATATTTTACACATTTTATTTTCATTACTCACCCTTTTATGACTTTTACATTATACATCTGAAAACTAAATATATTACTTAAAATTCTCTTTTCGTATGAAAATTTGAAAACAGGGATCTACACACAGTCCTACGTTACATTCCTTGCACTCGTAATAACTCATTTGCCATTTTGAGGGATTTTTCCGAAAATGTGAACAAACGAAGCATCGTCGTCTCATTTTCTTATCAGTCTCTTCTGAACAAAGTTTTGGAAAATGTCTTTCAGTTAATCGTTCAGAATCAATATCAGAATATCTGAATTTCAGAATCAATATCTGAAATATTTTGCATCATTTCTGCTATTTCATGCTCTGTTAAATATTTTCGACGCTTTGACATTGCAACGGTAAAAACAGAAAGAATTCACGTCTAACAAGATCTAATTATTTTCTAAAAACTGACTGCAAACCGAAATACCCAACGCTTTAGCGCAAATAACACTTCTCTACATAAATAAACAACTACCATGTGCGAATAAAGTGCGATTTAAAGAGACATCATAAATCACGCCATTCGGAAACATTTATGTTCCCTTTTGTTTATATAATCAAAAACATGTGTATGTGAGTCATGCTTCTCTCATTTCGAGTAGAAGGTCTAATGTACATGTATCTGAAACCATATGGACATACAGTGCCATCTTGTGGCAGAAATTATAGTTATTACAACGTTCCAGGACACTGGCACAAATACGTGACAGTCAGTAGTGAACGGGAAAATGCTCTGGCACGCCTGCGTGTCGGCCCGGGAGGTGAGTGTGTTCGTTGCTGGCACGTAGACGTGACAGCCGGCACAAAGGGGTTAAATACAATAAAAAGAATGCACATGGTGGAAAACGGTGACCAAATTTGTTAAAACTGAAGAATTTTTTGCCGCCAGACTTTGGTGCATTTTGAAAATTAGGTGAATCTGTAGAGATATGTTAAGTACTGAGGCATCATCACAGCAGCCATTATGAGTATCATCAAAGAAAAACTTCTGCAAAAACATGTGCATAAATTAATTCTGTTGTTGGAAAGAATACTGTATGGAAATGAGCATGCAGTTTTGATTTCAGAAGCTAATGATTTGGTTACCAGTGTTTCATAATGTAATGGCATATTGCAGAAGATTACACATAAGGAATTGCAAGCTTTGCTAGATGAAGATTCATTTCAAATGTAAAAAGAGTTTCAACAACAGGCTGGCTAAATTTCATTTCTATAGCTTTTCCCCAAGAAATGTGAATACAAACCAGTTAACCTTAGAAAGTCTTCCAAGAAGGCATCCCTCCTCTCAAACACAGATATCTAGCTCCCATGTGCTTTGCTATAATCAAATATAGCAAACCAAAAGAAAAAAGAATTTTATACGAACAAACAGGAATAAATTAATGTTTCCAATCATTTAAACATAATGAAAAAGATTCCAAAGGAGAAAAACGCATGCTAGATGAAATTAACTGAGAGAAAAGAAGATGAAATGCTTAATAAACAACAACAACAAAAAATTTCTTAAAGAAAATCATGATAGGTGCTGAAAATGGAGATTTCATGGCAATCCCAAATGCTAAAAATAATGAATACTTCAGATGAAGCAACATGAGTACCAAAATAAAAGATACAATTAAAAAAAAAATCTGCTGTACATCTAATGGAATATAAAAAATTATACTCTAGTATGAACTGTTGGAATTAAGTCAAACCATAAATGCTTATCTCGCCATGTAACATATATTGTGACTGAACCAGGAAGTCATTTGAATATCTAGGGGCAGAACTATGTTCTATGAAATTTCTCTATGATAATACTAGGTTGCATGTTACAAAAATAGTCTATCAAATGTTAATGATGCTTAGTTGGGAAGTTCTAAAGCATCCAGCATATAGTCATTATACATGCTCCATTAGATTATCATTCTTCTGGTTGACAATTCAACAAATTCACTCTTTTGCTGCCCACTTCTAGTCATTTTGCTTCTTGTTGCACACTTCTGGTCATTTGTCAGGGAAAATGGGTTGACATTTTCAGCACATCACACAATGAAACATTCTTCATTGCTGGATCATGAGCTGCCTATCCACCAGTAGGAGGTTCAAAGACATTGATAGCACATATTTTGTCAATTAAAAGTAATGTTTTCTTTTAAATAAATGTTTCAATGTCTTAAAAATGCTTTAAAGACTTAACTGTACTCCATTTCCCCCCCTTAAAAAACTGCATATTCAATTTATGTAATTATAATTTCTGTGTTATAAATTAGCAAAAGTTAAAAAATTTAATAAAAAAATTTGATTAAGCAAAATTATGAAAGAATTACTTTTTGGAGGAGTACGATTATGACACAGCTCATCATCTGATTCTTCATCGTATAAAAGAGGTGAAGTTGCAGCAATGATGCGTACCTGGCCACTGAAATTTGAAAATAAATTTATTAATAACTGACCGATTGAAAAAAAATCACCAGCAACCTTTTACAAGCAAATTAAAAAGACTTATGTGTTTTTTCCAGAGATCATGAGAAAGATAATCGATATTGGAAGTGTGTGCGACATGTCAATGACATTTAGTATAGGAACAGCATTGAGGTTTACTGAATCACGAAATATATAGTACAGTCAAAAGTCTTTAATCCGGACTCGTCGGAACTTCGGCGATTCCGGATTATCGATTTTTCCGGATTATAGATCATCAGTTTAAATCTGGTAAGATGGCATGCAGAAATAATAAATTAAAAATATGAAACCGTAATTTTATAAATAATGAGCAATTATGATCTAAAGGGTATCAAAATTTACCAAAAAAGAAGCCTAATATTTATTTGTTACTTTATTAAACATTTCTTTCAACGCGCGGATGCGTAAAAGCATACCTTACGCATAGCCGAAATTAGAAAATTGCAACCAGAAAACTATTTGATTTGTATTCGTGATATTTATAATGACGAGGAATTTGATTTAAATCATATCAAAGACGGAGTACACCGAAATTAAATACTACATTTAGTAAGGAATTATAAGCCGAATAAAATAAAAACATCTGCCCTGAAGATAACGATAGTGTTGACAAATCAACTTCCAGTTCATTGCGCGCCGCGACGTTCCCCCCCCCCGCGCAGAGCAGCGTGAAATTAATAAACAGATTTCTGAACGGTTAGATAAACAAAGAATATGCCTTTATACATTTTTTGTAGCAATTCGTTTTTTGTTTGATGGACATCGAAACATACTTTCGTTTTCTAGATCCTTTGGGAGCTCCAGCATCGGAAATTCTATTTGACATAATCGAAAGTTCAAGCTTACTTTTAGAAAAATTGCTCTTACAGTCTGCAAAAAATAATAAGCCGGATCCAATTCGAAGATTAAAGGAACAACGCAATCATCAACATTAACTGAAATAGATAATTAGATAATTTTAGCTTATACCGTCCGTTATATATTAAACGCGCACGCGAAAACGTATTCTGCACTTGCGCAGACGCATATGCGCAGTGGTAAATGTCTTGCGCGCACGAGTAAAACGACTATGCGCATGCGTCAATGCGGCGCATGCGCGGAAAGATTTTAGCTTTGAGGTCCGGATTATGGGTGTCCGAATTAACGACTTTTGACTGTATATATACAACTTAGTTGAAATACTCTTTAATGACAGTAGTGTTTAACACTTCAATAGATGCACTCAGCTATAAAATATTTGAGTAGAGAATAGTTATTTTCAAATATATACGCTGACTGAAGACTTAAGTAATCTTGTCTACAAAAACACTAATAATTTGATGGTCTTAATTCTTTGACTTCATTTGCTCTCATGAAAACTTAATTATTCTTTCTCACCTAAATTGTTATGTGGCAACCCTTGATGTTGCCAAAAAATATTCATGTGGCAACCCAGGTATGTGTACAGCATGTGTTTGTTTTGGCCTGTGCGCAAAACCAAATTTTTGAGATGTAAGGTTCGTGCAATTCTCTGAATTTTTTTAAGGCATATTTCAGATACCTGGCTCGAACAAGAAAACTTTCAGCCTAATGGAAAGTCACCTTCCTTAAAAGCTTCTTTGGAGCCCAGAGGAGGAAAAAGTAATGAAGGGAGAAAATGCCACAAGAAATTTCATATGCCTGTTGAAAATGTAGATAAGAAGTTACAAGAAAGTATAACACTTAAGAATTTAAATTAGCCAAAAAATTTTTTAAAAGGCTAAAGTTGTACTAATTCAGAAGTCAAACAACAAAAATCAGCATTTTATTTACAAAATTTTCATAGAAAATTAGGCTAAAGTTGCTTTTCTGAGTTAATTATATTTAATGTTTCATCAACTTTCAAATACATTTTATTAGGACAGATTCATATTTTTTGTGCATATTCTTCAAATTTTTGTATAATAAGACTAATTTTATAAAACTAAGCATAATTATGAACATTGTACACCATTTTTTATAAATCTAATATGCTACTTCAAAGTACTATTGTAACCAGATTTGCAGATAAATATATAAAAATAAAAAATAATATATAGATGACTTATATAAGAAACTTTGTAGTTCTAATGTACCGGGTGATCAAAAAGTCATATAAAATTGAAAAACTAATAAATCACGGAATAATGTAAATAGAGAGGTAAAAATTGACACACATACTTAGAATGACATGGGATTTTATTAGAACCAAAAAAAAAAAGTTCAAAAAATGTACTGTTATCGGGCCTTTTTTCTTCGAGGAAATGCATGATTCTGGTTTTGTAATTGCTACCGTGATGACTGAGAGGTATGCCGATATGTTACAGAATCGCATCGTCCCCAGCCTGGCTGATAAACACCTGCTGGAACGTACGATTTTTTATGCAGGATGGCGCTCCACCCCAATATGCTAGACGCGTGAATGAAAGATCTCTTGCGCGAGTCGTTTGGTGATGATCGTGTGCTCAGCCGCCACTTTCGTCATGCTTGGCCTCCCAGGTCCCCAGACCTCAGTCCGTGCAATTGTTGGCTTTGGGGTTACCTGAAGTCGCAAGTGTATCATGATCGACCGACATCTCAAGGGGTGCTGAAAGACAACATCCGACGCCAGTGCCTCACCATAACTCCGGACATGCTTTACAGTGCTGTTCACAACATTATTCCTCGACTACAGCTATTGTTGAGGAATGATGGTTAATATACTGAGCATTTCCTGTAAAGAACATCATCTTTGCTTTGTCTTAATTTGTTATGCTAATTATTGCTTTTCTGAACAGATTATTGCTTTTCTAATAAAACCCCATGTCATTCTAAGTACGTGTGTCAATTTTTACCTCTCTATCTACATTATTCTGTGATTTATTAAGTTTTCAAATTTATACTGACTTTTTGATCACCCGGTACATTCAGTTATTTTTAATCAATTCTAATGTATCGTAAATAATATTTAATCAAATGATTTTTTAAAATAAGTTTGTATTGAACATACTTGTAAAATTACAACATGTAAGAATTTCAATTGATATTTTTAATCAAGTTTAACATATATCGCTCTGGTTGAAAATTTGGTTGCTTCTTCTGTATTAATGAAATACATATCAGTAATGAAACACAAATATTTCAGTTTTGTATGCCAAAAAAGGTATAATAACAAAAAAGTTAACAGTTAAACTGGGTTGGCTGTCATTTTTATTTTTAACAGGATATGTTATAACTGTTCATTTTAAGGCATAGTTCTTTTACGGGGAAGGTCACCTTGGAAGGTTAACATAATGGCGAGAATTAAGAGAAGATGTTTGCCAGTTTGACAGTACAATAAAATCACACTATGTCAGTTTGATGTTATTACAGTCAAAAGTCATTAATTCGGACACCCATAATCCGGAATGATCTATAATCCGGACCTCAAAGCTAAAATCTTTCTGCGCAAGCGCCGCATTGACGCATGCGCATAGGCGTTTTACTCGTGCGCGCAAGACATTTACCACTGCGCATATGCGTCTGCGCAAGTGCAGAATACGTTTTCGCGTGCGCGTTTAATATATAACGGACGGTAAAAGCTAAAATTATCTAATTTTATAATTTCTGCATGCCATCTTACCAGATTTAAACTGATGATCTATAATCCGGAAAAATTGAAAATCCGGAATCTCCGAAGTCCCGACGAGTCTGGATTAAAGACTTTTGACTGTACTTATTTTCCAAGCACCTGATTGGCAACAAATTCAAAAACACATTCAGCCATTCCCCCCTCTTTTTTTTTAATAAATGTCGGGATGACTTGCACATATCAACTGTCAACATAAAAATTCAATACAAATAACAGTAAAGCCTTAAATAATATTTTTTAATACTTCTTTGCCACAAATATAAGCTACAAATTTAGGGCTAATATTTTTAGTGTCAGTTATGTTAAACCAAAACTTACTCGATTTAACTATAATTCTGAAACAAAATATTTCACTTCAATAATAACACTTTAAGAAAACCAAAAGTTAATCTTATCTTCGGAGATTAGCAATATCCTGTTCTGACAATTCTTCGCTGGGATACAAATTACACAAACATAAGATGACCTTTGAATGATCCACTTCAATAACTGGCATTAAAACGGCAGTCTTCTGACATCCGTTCCTCCTTGCAATAAACAAACTTGGCAACTGGTACTCTGATTCAGTAGGAGTTGAGTGAGGATTTAATTCAGTAACAAACTTGTTCTCAAAATTTCAGCAGCCTTCTTGGATTCAGGAGACCAGCACCATCGAAATCGCTAATTAAACTCCTAATTTCCAGTATCTCGGTGGAACCTCCAATTTAATAGGACAACAGTCAAAAGTCGTTAATTCGGACACCCATAATCCAGAATGATCTATAATCCGGACCTCAAAGCTTCAAACTTTCTGCGCATGCGTCGAGTTGACGCGCAAGGCCTTTACGGCTGAGAATATGCTTGTGCGCGTGCGCAAAATGCGTTTACGAGTGCGCATTTAATGTATAACGGGACGGTATAAGCTAAGCTAAAATTATTTAATTATCTATTTCAGTTAATGTTGCAGATTGCGTTCTTCTTTAATCTTCGAATTGGATCCGGCTTATTATTTTTTGCAGACTGTTAGAGCAATTTTATAAAAGTAAGCTTGAACTTTTGATTATGTCAAATAGAATTTCTGATATATATTTATTAATATGTAAATAATCTACAAAGCGAAAGTATGTTTCAAAGTTCATTAAACAAAAAGTGGAATTGCTACAAAAAATGGATAAAAGCATATCCTTTGTTTATCTAAACTTTGTTTACCCTTAACGCCGCAGCGCCGCGCAATGAATTGGAAGTTGATCTATCGGCACTATCCTTATCTTCAGGGCAGATGTTTTTATTTTATTTGGCTTATAATTCCTTATTAAATGTAGTATTTCATCTCGATGTACTCCATCTTTGATATATGATTTAAATCAAATTCCTCGTCATTATAATTCGCTTCCGATAGCGAAGAAGAAGAAAGAACAGAGGTTATTGAATACGAAAAAAATTTCGATTGACAAATTAGTCGGTATTCTCGACACAGCAATTATAGGACTTGAACAGCGGAAACTTTGTAACTGAACAAGAAATTATGTCTGTTTAAAGAATTAAAGAGAATGTATTATTACATAAAAAAACGAAGCAAACTTTAAACAAACTTACATTGAAAGAAATGTTTAATAAAGTAAACAAATAAATATTAAGGTTTTTTTTTTTTTTTTTTTTTTTTTTTTGCAAATTTTGATATCCCTTTAGATCATAATTGTTCTTTATTTCATAAATTACGGTTTCATATTTTTAATTTTATAATTTCTGCATGCCATCTTACCAGATTTAAACTGATGATCTATAATCTGGAAAAATCGATAATCCAGAATCGCCAGAATTAATAATATTAAGTCCCGATTAACGACTTTTGACTGTATAACGTATTTTGCAGTTTTTATCGAAATAACAGATGAGCTTAGTAAACCATAAATTGGTTAGAGAATATTGAAGGGTGCCCCTTGGCTTATCCCGAATTTGTTTCATTTATGATAACCTAAGTTGTTGAATGTTATGGAAACCCTATTATGACATAATTGCAGTGAATTTTAATGATGGGAAAAGCTTTGTAAAGGCTTGTTTACGTTGGATTTTGGTTGGGAAGTATGTTGCTGATTTTGTGTTTTACATGATAAAAAGGCTGAATGTGGTAAGATTAATTTGAATTAATTAATTAAGATTCGATTTAGAATGAAAGGGAAAAAAGCATTAATTGACTGGTGTGTAAAATGATGGTTTACTCAGTAGCCATCATAGGTGTCCTGTTTGTACGAAAGAAATGCATATGGTCGAACGTCAGAGGATACTGGCACTATGGAAGGTATATTTTACTCTTATTTTTGCGAATTTATGTGGTGACGCCAGTATACAGATTCTAATTCAGATAATTTTGGGAAGTTTTTCAATGTTGGTAAGGAATTTATTTTGACTGAAGAGAGAGAAATTTCTAAATAAGGTTCATGGATATTTTCTTTGTTTAGTGCTAAGATGAATTTCCTTTATGTTATTTCGATTAAATTTGATCTGTTTGATTAAAATGCAGTTTATAGAGATTATATATTTTTTGTTTGGCTCTAGTGTAGAAGTGGTTGCTCCTTTGACTTTTCAAGTGAAAAAATGATGTGTACATGGACAAAATCAAGGGAGTGCACAATGCCAAGTTTTTGCAATTCTCTGATGTTTTTTTTAAGTGAAAATAGGTCGATTTGTGCATGGATACCAAGTTTGTGCAATTCTTTGACTTACCGGCTTTGTGTACCAGCGATTTTTTAGCCTTGCCGCTACACAAAGCTAAGATAACAAATCAAAGAATTGCACAAACTCAGTGTCCATCTACCGCCAAAAACTGCCAAGTTTCACCAAGGGGCACCCATAAATATATTTCTACCCATAAAATTATATTCTCAATTTATGAAGACAGATAATTTAAATACAATTCTATCCATTACAGCTTCACACTTCAGCTTACTATTACAGCTTCTTTCCCTAAAATTTTTTCATACATTTACTACTGGTATAAGAGTACTTTTTACTTTCAGAATAAAATTTTTAAACATTTTCTGACATTGCTCAGCAACAGTTATACGATACAAATATGGCATTGCCACTCCAATGTCAAGGACAATAAATATAATTAATTGTTAAATAATAAAATATTACAGTCCTTTTAATAACTCGGGTTTGTACAATAATCTATTAAATCACCAGCACGTCAACACAGCCACTAGTCATGTTAGGAATTATTTGCTCCCAGGTCTGAGCACAAGTCACCAAGAGATGATTATCCAAAAGTTGCCTTTCTTTTCTTTTAAGAGAAAGTAAACACTGTATACAGAATGATAAAAATATAGCACAAAAAAAAAAAAAAAAAAGGATTTGTCCAAAAATTTCTTTTTTCGAGAAATAAATCTTTTGCATTTTATAACAGATGTTTCTTGCTTTTTTTAATTTGACTGCTTGTATGGAATTCTTAGCACTCATCTATTTTGAAAATGGCTTTTGCCTGCCTCGCATAAACGACAGTCGCCAGCGAGTTTGCAAATGCTCTTCAAAGTCGCCAATGAGTTTGTGACTTTTCAGTTAAAAGGGGGGATTATATTCAAAAACTAACTAAAATTCTAAAAAATAAAGTTTAAAAAAAGAATCTTTACATTATTATCAATTATACTGAGATGGGCAATGATTTATACATACCAGCTAATTTATGTTACAGAAAATCCAAAGATTTTAACGCAAAATGCAATATCAAAAATACTTTCTGATTATTTTCAGCTCCCATTTTAACATTCTATAGAATTACTATTTTTTTTTATTTTATTATATTATTATTTTTTTTTATTTATTTATTTTTTTAGTATTTTTGAACATACACACAACAGTCAACCCATGACAGTCATGCAATAGTCAACCCATGCAACAAAAATCACCCCATACATTACATATATTTAACTATATGAAGATTTACAGGTTTATATTTAGACATTTTTGCTGAGCAGTACCTATTTGTTGTCAAAATGCAAATATTGCAATACAGATTTTTTATTTTTCTCATAAAATTTTTTGTTTCTTAAATGCTTCTTTTTCTTATTATTAATGAATAAAACAGTATCTATAATCTGTAAAGAGAGCAAAAGAAATGTCTATAGTCAATTCAAAATTTCCAATGACATGACATGGGCGTCAAAAATCAGATATTACCAACAAATTTAAACAATATTCTTGCAATAAGTGCCATATTACCAAAGAATTTAAAGACCAATTCACTCACATTCAACAGGAATGTTAACTAAACTATTATAGAACATACTTATCTCACAATGATAATCATTACACGCTGAGGATAATAAATACAATTCAAGCAGTACTAGCATATTTCTCAATTAAAGAAATCCTATTTTACATTTGTTAAAAGTCTCCAGTTTATTAAAGTGTAACAGAATAAATAGCTAAAAGCAATACAAAGTTAACTAGGAAAATGTTAAAAGATATTTTTATAGACAACTGATTTAAAATAGCAAATTATACAACGAAAAGAAAGAAAAAAAAAACTTCAATTCTTAATTAAGAAGAGAGATTCCCCACCCCTTTGTTGTTATAGTAGGATTATATTAAAACATAGAAAATATGTGAAAATTTAAAGAATGTGAAAGTCTAACTGAATACTAACTTTTTTATTTCTCAAAACTGGAAGACTGAAAATATATTAACACTTGAAAATTACTTTTTAACTAGTATTTTAAAACTTTAATATGTTTTATGAAAACTGCTGCTATATCTTCCTGCAACTAACTTTTAATTTCTGCTTCTTGTAAAATTTCCTGACTGCATTATGTGACAAACATAAAAGTAACATTTCACAGCTGTTTTTCCTTGTTTATTCTAAATACATACCCAAATAATTTCGCCTGAAAATTTTCATCAACTATAAAGTACTCTCTCTCTATATATATATATATACAAGGTTGCATCATGATTTTTTTTTTTTTTATTCCTACAATATTTTTTCATTACGAATATAATCATACGTCGAATTTACTTCGGAGAAATATTTAGCAAATTCTGACTGCTCGATTTTCAGATAACTACTTTCTGCTAACACGTAATATTTTATACATTACTGCAGAAAGCCATTTTAAAGAATAATTTATAATTATATGAAAGAAGTCAAAATCAAAGCATAAAGTACAATTACGGATAAATTAAGTTTTAATTGCATGTAAACAAACATTGCATGCTAAGAACACAATCATACGTCGCATGTCGTCATATTTCACTCATTTGTAAACAGTTTAAGTTTTACACAATTTTATATAAATTTATGAAATCATGAAAATGAAAAATCTCTGTTAAGTAAAAATAACAAAATCTGACAACTATTCTGTCTACTGAAATTATTATATGAAAATGCATTTTTGATGAAAATTTTACTGGATTTAAGAATTACAGCGCTTGAAAAAGTACTTAAAAACTTACTGTCGTCCATTTTGAATTTTAAAAAAATCATAAATGTCATAATACGAAATTAAAGGTACGACAGCATAAACAAAATAATAAACATTACCTTCTGATTAAGTATTGCAATATCGTAGCAATATCTCTATCACGATCACTATCAGAATCTCTGTCATGGGTATCACTGTCTGTTTCAAATCTGTCGTTCATTCTTCGACCGTGAAATATATGCGATCCCATAAAGATACAAATTTGAAATATTACATATACAAGTTACAACAATACTCTCCCCTTCCTTCAGGCCATGCAACACCGCTACGTTTTATTGTTATTACAATGGACGAACAATTACAATTCCTGTAAACTCAGTACTTAGCACATGCGTAGTATAAAAATACTCAAAGGGAATAAGGTTGCAATATTGCTATCTCTTGGCAGAAATCGCCAAAAGAAAATGTTTTATTGGAGAATGCATAGTCTTTGGATTCGTTGATCGCAACTGTGTGTATAAGAACAAAGTGAATGAGCTGTGTTTTGTTCCATATTCAAATGAAGAGGAAGAAATAACTTAAAAACTTTTCAGGTTTCCTTTTTTGTTCGGTTGTTTTGTGTATTTTACTTATACTAAGCACTTAGACTTTTCTTTTCCTCACTTATGCAGTTATTAAAATATTCATCATATTATAAATATCGTACATGACAATTGATTCTCAACATTTTTTGTTTCATGCTCCCCTTTCGTTATTGCTAGGCGATCATCCCCCCATCCTCCTCGAAGAATACAAGTACATTTATTTAATAGATTTTTTTTAATGTGCTTTACAAATTAAGCAAGGAAACGTATACGAAATAGTAATAAATACTAAAATTTGAATAAAAATTGTTTTTTATATTCATAAATTAAGAAACTAAGTACCTAACTAGTAAATAAAAGGCTGACCGTAATCAAGCCGTAATCGCCCCCTGAAATTATGAAATTTCCCTGATGGAGGAAATTCCCCCCCCCCCTTTATACCCCTTCAGAGCTGTTAGAATATTTCAGTGTCATTTTTGCATAATGCAACTCGGCAAGGTTAAAAAAAAAAAAAAAAAAAAAAAAAAGAAAGAAAGAAAGAAAAACGAGTTCCAAACGATATATATTGGCGAGAGAAAATTCTACTTAGATTCAGATGAGATTTGGAAGTGCATGAGGTGTTGCTGTTGATTAGAGAAATTGTTCTTTCTATCTACCGCGTTGCTTTATTCCTGCGATTTTGTGAAGTAAGGGAAAACGACATTGCTCTGACTGCTGAAGCTGATCCTGCGTTGCTGTCGTTTCTTCTTGATGTTCACGATAAGTAGGTTTTCATTATTCTTTTCGCCATTAGGTTAAAAGTTAGGATTCATGCATATCATGGACAAGGAGGCGATCGAAAACCGTATCAAATCTGTGTGTAATCACAGAAATCTGGAAGTTACGAGCGATAACTTAGAAAAACTTAAGCAACTTATGCTTTCTGAGTTCATGCTTATCAAAATTCATTTAATCCAAAAATGCGACTGACGATGAGTTCACTTAGCCCATGTCAATGCTATGGAAAAGGATATACAAATCTTAGACTTATACATTAATGAAATGAAACAAAAAGAAACCCTAAATAATCCAACAGAGGAAACAAGTCAATCCGATATTACTGCTAGTCAAAAATCTAGAATTAAAAAGAAAACCACAATAGATAAAGAAGGATACATAACCCCTAAAATAACTCATAAGAAGAACTCTATCAAATTCCGAAATAGAAGAACCAGCTCAAAAAAATAAATTCGAGGAACTAAACCCTCTGAAGACAATATGGAAGCAGAGGAAGGTGAATTTATTACACCCAACAAAAAAGCAGGACACATTCCCCCTATAGTCTTAGCAGACTTCGCGAGGGATTGGGATAAGATGAAAGAAGATTTTGACTTACTTCCTACCTCCATGAGTAGGAGGTGTGGGAGGGGGAGAAGAGAGTAATGTCTGCCCTAGCGGTTGCGAATGGGGGGGTGAGGTCAGTGTCGTTACAAGATGTAGCAGCGGGCGACAGACCGCAGAGTCAATTTAGCGTGAATGAGTCAATTAAGGTTGTAATTCTTATGTGGTTAGGATGTCACCTGGGTAGTGATGTTTTTCACCGGGATACGGGGAGTGTCTGAGAGTGCTAATAAGGCTATTACTGTGGGTTTGCACTGCATGAAAGAAGTTGACCGCTAAACATTTAAATATACTCTTGAATAGGTTCGATTTGAAGGTTTCTGTGAATGCGCTATTTGATCTCGACATCCATTAAGAAGGATGTGATTAAGGAAGAACCTTTTGGAATGGTGCTGACTGGATAATCCTGGACAGAGACCGATTTTAAGTGCATTGCATTTAGAGATGATTTGTATTTTTTTTCGCAGAGCTGATGACTATTGAATACCTGTGCATATGGGAGAGGCACCCCACATTTGTTAACGGGTGTCATACAGCAATTTCACCTAATATAACAATAAAGACAGCCATTCTCCTTTAATTGCACTCCAAAACAGTTTGATGCCTAGCACGTACTATATCGCAGCATTCTTTGATCAGTTGATCGCCAGTTGAAAAATTTGTGAAAATCAATTCAGCATACAGACATAAATAATTTAAGTGACACTATAGCGATCTCGAGAGCCACTCAGTGCTCGCAGATTTGAAAGAGTCGGAATTCTTGAACCTAGCGCACGGGAACTCTTCTGCACTAGTGGTAGAGACTTCAACTCGCGTTAAACAGTCCCAGAATCAAATCCCAAGATCATTACCATCTTCAAGAGCATGCGAAACTCGCGTACTATAGCATTTCTTGCTGGTGCTAATAGATGGCGACATGAGCAAGCAACTACTCACTCGAAGCGACTGAGTTCTCTCGCGTCACGTGGTCCCTACACACTACGCTCCACTGAATGCCATCTCGTATAACTACAAAAAGAGTAAAAATGTGATTCTGTTTCACAGTCTATTAATAAAACATTTATTGCCTAGAAATTCTGATCATTGTATATCACCTCAAGTAATATTATAATCAGTTACAGATGAAAATTTAAAAAAAAAATTAAAGCTTCTGCTTATCTTCCTTGTGTTCTGAAAGGAAACCTAAAAGTCAGTTCTTAAATAGCATTAACCCTTAGCCTGTCGAGTAATTTTCTACGAAGCCCTTTAAAACTGTCCCTAGTTTTGAACCGAACTTCCCGTAAAATGTCGCGAAAATAACCCTAAACCTCTGAAAATTGTCATGCAGTTCTTTTGTTATTTCCCATTCCTCCCAGAATCTTACTTCAATGATTCCGCTAAGTGATATTGATTACAAGATATTGTTTCGTAAATGTGAGCTGTCAACAGAATTGCAAAAGACTAGACTCTCCGTGATGACCGTCTTAATGCCGCAGGGTACAGCTGCGAAACTTAAATTTACTTCCCTTAAACAATCTTTTCTCTTCTCTACATATAATAAAAGAAAGAATCTGTGTGTGTGTGTGTCTTTCGTTCGCGCTGCGCGTAAGCTAATAGACCCACGGCTACGAAATTTGGTACATACGTAGGTGCATCTAGACAAGAGCCAGTGCACCTCGAAGCGAAGTTTTCGAAACTCAAATTAATTTTTTTTAATTTTATGTTTCCTGACAAAATCGTGTCATTTTGAGACAATATGGGCTATAGGAAAGCGAGATTTTACTCTACACACTCCATTTTCACATCGTCATGAAACTTAGGCACTTAACTATTTTACGAACTTAAAATAAATTTCGTATTTCAATAAATCGATTAAATACGAATTTATTTAACAAAGAGAGCTTAACACCTTTTCAACGGGATTTTTTCTAAAAAAGTTTATTTTTAAAAATGTATAGTTTATTTTTCTTTGATTTTTGGACACGTTAAACTTTCATCCTTGCGACTACTTTTACAAAAACAATTTGGGAAAATGATAATATTTTGTATTTTTAAAGAATTTTTTAAATGAAGCTTCTGAGTACACTTCTCACATCTTTAAAAATGTGATTTTGGCAACAATTTTCCTGTCTTGTTGTTGATAGATTTTTGATGAAATCACATCATTTTGAATAGTTTCATTCTTTTAGAAATATGGGTTTGGCAACAATTTTTCATCGTATTTCTTATGTCACTGTTTTTAAGAGATTGGCATATTTCATTGTCACTTATATATATATATATGTGGCGTTCCGACAGATACTTCAACTTCTATTCATGAGATGGCGCCACGTGTAAAATCCAGTTCTTAATCGGAGCAGCAAAGCGACATCTTTACTCACTCAGACTTCTCGTCACACAACTGTACGCGAAGGTAGCATGAACTGTGTTCCGAGCTCTGTGTTGATCTCTGCAATGTAATTTAAATTGTAATTTAGTATTTAATATATTCTTTTGTTATAGGAGATTGTCTACTCTTATTTTCTTTAATTATATCATGCATTAAGCACACACGACCACCAAAAGTGGTGACCTTTTGACTGAGCACGCTACTGACAATGGATTTTCAACGACCCTAAGCCACGTGCATCCAAGGCATTCTGAAGAACTGACTAAAAATAACAACGAATATGGACATTAAACGTATGCTACAACAACGTACCCCTTCAATTATTTCTAGATGTATTGATATATATTGCTTGTGTTTTTTTTTCAAAGTCGTACATATCATCGCAAGGAGCTTCAGCAAATCATCAATGTGATCTGTTCCGTTCCGCTGACTTCGCCAGTCGTGCAATAATTCTTCGATCATTCAACTTTTGTGATAAATGTGATACAATAGTGATTTTCGCTAAATGTGCTACATCAGTAATTTTTCTGCAACGTGCTACGGCAAAATTCTTCCCTCAGTGTTCGAAAGTAGTGATTTTTTTCCCCATGTGCTACAGGAGTGATTTCCTTTTCCTTCGAAAGTGCCTTAGCAGTGTGAAGTGGTGATTTTGTGCGTGCGCAATACAAAATTAACGCATCATTTTTTCTCAAATAGGGGTTTCTTTTCAAATGCATTTCGGTAAAATATTATTTGTGTGTGTAATTGCTGACCCTGTATTATTTGTGTGTGTATCGTTACGTAAATTTTTTCTGCATGGTTAAAATATTTATTGTTATCATGGTAAAATATCAATAGTGTATCCTCATGCTACAATATTTGTGCTGATTAAGTGTTTATTAATTAAAGTGAAAATTATCTATCAGTATGCCCGACGATATTCCACCAGAGCCACAAATCACACGCGTTGCGGTGAAGCCACCGCCTTTCTGGAAAAATAATCCTTCATTGTGGTTCGCTCAGATCGAAGCACAATTTTCTATCGCTCGCATTAGTGAGGATTCTACAAAATTCAACCATGTAGTTGCAGCAATTGAGTCTGATATTCTGAATTCAGTGCATGACTTAATTCTCAAACCACCTGATTGTGATAAATACTCCAAACTGAAACAGCGGCTCATTGAAATCTATTC